TTATTTGTGTTTATTCTTCATTTATTATTCATTTATAGTTATTGTTGATTGGTAACAGTTTCGGTAGACTAGTCACTTAGCGGTTGCTAGGGCACCGCTAGACATTTTGCAACGCAGTCACTGCGGTATACCTTTGTCAAAATCCGCGCTCCTTCGTATACCAAATAGCATACTTAAAAGCCATGCTTCTTATTTACGGTTAGCCGTATGCTTACATATAAAATTTCCTACTGGTTTCCCTTTTTTCCTCTCTTCCTGTAAAAACAAATAACCATCGCCGCTCTCGTTTAGCGGACTCTGTAGTTAGTGGTTGCGACATTAGGTTACATAAACTATCGTTGCCGAGTAAACCGTAACCACTTTTTAATTTCAACGGTCTGAGAACTCTCATTAATTCAGCCACCCTGCATTCGAGTGTATTTAAGGTCTTCAGTCCACTCCTCATGCGTTTTAATGAGAATCGCATCTTTAAATTGGCACCTGGCTATCCATTAAAGTTTCATAACCGCATGAAGGCGAGGATACTGCCAAAACGTTGTTCAGAAGGTTTTACTCAAGCATTTGTAAAGACATTCACAATCGGCCTGAAGAGGGTATGTGCTTGAGAATTGTCTACTTACAAACGACGGCCTTAATGGGTGTTTGCGTCAGAGATTTCGAACTATGCGATAGCACTTTGATAAGAAAATTCATTTCAAGCTTCCTCGAGTTGCGTCCAAAGTTTCTTTATTCTGTGCCTCCTAATTGGCCCTGTTTTGAAGAGCCCTGGTGACAGCTCCAAAGCCCACAAGACTACCTTTACCAGAAACCTTGCGGGCACTGTTCCTGTAAACAATCAGAAACTTGGAATATCATGCAAACTGTTTTTTAACCTTATGGCATTTCTAACTTTAAAACATCATCTTCTGCTACCCAAATGCTAACGAAAAAAAGCTGCAAAAAGTGGTTTCAAAGACATTTTATAAGACAAGTTCTTCTTTTTTGTCGTTTGCGCTTCCATCTGTATGATTATGGGAAGTGAACAGTAACGCTCGAAGAAAGAGATCTATTTTACAATCTTAATAATTACTTCCGATAAATTCTCATTGGGCCGATTACATTTATATGGCCTAGCATAGACAACGGCCACATAACTATCGGCATTTGCCACGCTCTCTCTCCCTCTCGCCCCCCCTCCCCCTATTGTGGCGCAACTAGCCGTCTAAAACCAACCGCAACCCCCTCCTATTCCCATGAATAATTTGCCTGTAACTTTGATCAGTGTTTAGAGTGTTACACTCTGATCTGTGAGTTCAAGCCTTGGGTAGGGCAACATTTGGGGCTGGGTATAATTATCTGCTGCTAAGCCAGGAATAGCATTCAAATCTCCCTTTCATATGCCGGCAATGCTATCTGTCCATGCAGTGAGATCTTTGCGCCTTTCTGTCGTCCTTTTTATATAGAAGTGATGTTCGGAAGTGGCATTTCGGTCGGTGGTAGGGTTTAGGACCCTGCAGTTGGACATATCAAAATTTAAAAGCCATCTCTTTGACCAAACACTCAACCTACTGATGTTCGATGATACTTTCCGTATAATTGATTTTGTGCAGTATTTGTATCTGCGAACGTGCGAGTCTCACAATCCCTTTCGCCGGTACAATCATTCCACTAAACTTCGGTGAGTAATGAACCTAAAAGGGAACCTTGTGGGACACCATTTTCCACTTTTACCCACTCCTAGTTCTAATTTGCTACGAGGATTCTCCATACAATAGGAGCCAATACATTCCCGGTATATTTAAACGCTCCTCCTTGAATCCCTACCTCACAAACCTTTTGTAAGAGAAGCCTGTGTGGTGCGCTCTCAAAGGCCACCTTGATCCCCAAAAATACGCTATCTACGGGATAATCCCTAACTGTGTTCCTTATCTTCTTCTCATATGATTAACCAGTGCTCGTGGGGCAAAAGCGTCCTGGACGACACAAGGAGAATCCCAAGAGAAGCACTTCGTACTTCTCTTGATACTGGACTTATTGAGCACGAACAAGACGTGCACGGCACACCAAGTGGATCTTTTTCCGACTCTAGTCGCCCTCACTGCGCCTCGGTACCAGGCTGAGATAGATGATGAAGGTGAAAATACAGTTGATGCTACCTAACTATCCTAGCAATATGAGCTAGCCCACGCGTGAATCACTTTCACTGAGACCACAAACCTGTGGTAAAACTCATCATTCGCGATGGCTAAACCTTCATTTTGTAACCCCATAAGAATTGGTTGGACTTAGTTTGCATGGCAACCACCCGCAAAATGAGGAGATCATATCCTAAAGGAGGGTATTTGTTTTACACAACATTCCGATAATACGAATTCCCCCTTTTATTTTTCGTTGCAGTATTGGGAGAATTCCAGCGCAAGCCCTCAACTACGCCTACGACAACGTTAACTTCGAGGTTCTCCGAGAACCCGCCTACGCGGAAGCGCCAGTATATTTGGTGAATGGGGCAACTGGCAGTTTGAAGACAAGACGCAGCCTCGATTACGATAGGCTGCTTGACCACTCCTGGCCTTATCTGGTGTTGGGAACGGAGAATGGCTCCTACAATGCTACAGCTTTGGTCAGTTCAGTGGGAGAGGGACTTTATTTTAAACTAGAATTCATCTTCTGCTAAACGTAATAAATTTTTAGGTTTGCTGACATTTTGGACAGCTCGGCCGGCTGTCCTTTTCGAAGTGAATACTGACTTTATCGATCAGCAAGTTAAGATTTGCGGCTGTATATGTTCACCTTGGGCTGATCGATACTTCTCTGTTCGCTGTTGGGCCCTGCGTGTGAATTTTGGCTTGGCATGACAGCAGTTGGTATTCTGTTTCGTCCCCATGGTAGAGGACGCTGGTACTCCTGCTCCCTCTTCCGGTGGTTTTTTCACAGGGCCGTCTCCGTTTGCAAATCCTTACTTTGGTTTGACTGTGTCCTGTCCTTTGCTAACGTAATGGCGATGGACTTTGTAGGCTGCAAGGAGGTCCAGATGCCTGTTGACAGAGTTGGCGTCTGAGTACCATGCCTCAAGAGTCAATCTTTCGGCTTTTTAGGCTCTTCGGCCTACGATGGCCGCTCGTTGAATATCGAAGTTGTGGCCAGTCTCTCCGATATGTATTGCAAGCTGCGAGTTAGGGTCTATAAATGTGTAACTGCTTCTGATGAGGGGTTCGAGAGAGATTCTGAAACGTTAGGCCAATGAACACCATATTCCAGCGAACGCACCAGCTTCCTCCTCTGAAAGATCACTCCCTCGAAATTTTGTCTGTTAAAATAATGACTGGTATTAGTACAGTATGAAAAGATTTTGCAGTCCTTCATTCTCTCCTGTGATAGCGTATGCAACCTCTATGTAAACCTCCCTGTGAACATCACTATCGCGTACTCCAATAAGTCGGCTGAAGCAAGCTGATATATACAATTGATGGGACGACTCGGAATGTGCGATCAACCTCAAGTAAGTGTTGTGTGGAGTACATGACTGGTGGACCGAGAGTCAAGCTGCAATGGCTCCTTCTTAGTGTGGCTTTTAGGGCGCTCACATTCAGCTGGGATCCAAAGCGTCCGCCAACTTTGCTGTTGTTTAACGATTTTGGTGCGTGGGCCTGCAGTCTCTCCCATCTTCGGTCTTGACACAGGATCCAGGTGGGGCAGTGAGATAGATGACGCGCAAGTCCACTCTCAAAAGTCACCGTCCCTGCCACACCCTGGTGTGGAACATAAGGTGAACCTCATCAGACCTGATGGTCCAGCTGTCTTTTATGCTAAAAATGGTTTTAAAAAGTACGGTAGAAGTTAAATTTACGTCCCGGAACCCTTAACATTATCCTAACCCTTATACTAAACCTAAAACTAACCCTAGCTCTAAGACAGAAGCCTGGGGCTAAGCGCATAAAATATGCGCTGTTCCGGGACCTAAATGAGACGTCTGTTGAGGATATTCAGTCGTTCACTGACAGTTTGCCAGTCGTTCCCAACAGTGTTTACCGACTTTCCAACTGCTTGGTGGGCACGTGGTTAACTATTCGTTTGAGAATAATCTTACAGAAATGGTAGAATTTACCCTCATTTACCGCACTCTATCCTCCCTCGTCAAGTCTAGAGTCGAGATTTGGCGCCGGGGGCTGAAAGATCTAAGCAGTCCGCTCACACATGAAACACACATGTCTAGTCTGTTTTTACACAGCCGAGAGGGCAGACTTGGATTGCAATCGAATGGAAGTACCATAAATTCCAAATTTATTAGGAGCCATTCAGCCTGACTTGCCGTCCTGAGAGGACATAGTCATCTCATTAGCTGACACTTTGCCAAGCTGGAGCTTTATAGTTCACCGTCGTAGGTTAGCGTGTATCAGATTGATTTTAGCGAGTACTGTGGAGACGCCACCCCGCAGTCAGCTGTCAGGCACTGATGCGCTGTGCTAAGCGGTCAGTCATGTCTGATGCGTGCATTGAACGCAGGTGGCCGGCGTGGTTTGAACTTGTCACCAGACCCAGGCCTGTAGTGGTCTAAGTAGTGGTTATACTCGGGTCACTACTTTTATGGGGACACAAACGGCGATGCACTCAGAGCCTACGGCCGGAAGCACACGCCAGCTGAGTCATGCGCGCAGAC